TATAATACCCAGCAGAGAGCATTGGCTTCAGAAACCACGACGAACGCTGTGACACACGTTCCATTACACTTCACGGTGTCAAGCAAGCAGCCACCACACAGCAACACGACTGCGGGAAGGGTCTCCCCCAAGAACCCAACACAATGTATTCAACAACAGCCTTTACGCTGTTAGCTCTGCTAGCAAGTGCTCTGGCAGGTAAGCTCTGCAATCTATTGTACAATGAGACTGGTACAGTGCTCTGGCAGGTAAGTCATTTCATATGTTACATTCTTATTTTGCAATAAGCTAGGAAACTGGTACAGTGCCCGCATCTGATTGATACATACAAGAATAAGATATTTTCATATGTTAATTTGTTTGAACGAGGTAGGATTGGGGTAAATTTGGGGCCGAGTTAGGAATCAGTGCTTAAGGGATACAGCACTGAGCTGAGTAACTGAGTAAAAGTTCAGATTGTTGTGACAGTCAGATGAGTTCATGTAAAGAGAAATAACATTTGCAGGTTAAATACACAGGTGTGAAATATGTATATAATAAAGGCCGATTTTATAGATGTCTAGGAAGGGTGTTTCTGATGTTTGAAAATGAGCTGTACATATGTAAGATAATTTTCAAAACAATGGACAAAGTCGTCTGTATATGGTCATGCTTTTCAACGGATTAACAAGCTTATCTTTTTAACAGTTACGTAATAACTGATATATTTTGGTGTAATAAAGATATCTCTATAAGATACATGAAGATGCCTGACAAATTGCACATCAATATCGTACGTCAAAGTCGCCCGTCACATGAATAACTGCCATGCGAAGCGTAACTGAAGATGATATTTTTCTTTTAGGGCCAATCACCTACCAGTCACGCGACGAGACGACATCCTGCGCCAGACGATGCCGAGGTGAGTAAAAGGACTCGGATTGTAGTGGTTCTTGATGCCGTAATATATATGATAGAATGTGGCAAAAACATACTTACCATTCTTACATGTATGTAGATAGAATGTTCGTTTTCTTTATGAAATCAATTTTCTACATTTTTTGTATCAGACACGAACAAATTCAACTACGTCCCCGGAACTACCTATGAATTCGAGTACAATGTTCAGACCCATACATCCATGGAAGGAGCATCCAGTGATCAAGCGACTCTTGGTATTCGGGCAACAGCTGATATTGAGGTCCTGTCTAAATGCGACATGGCTCTTAGGGTAGGTAACCCTACACATATTCATTAGGGCAATGTCCAATACACCATGGCATGGTTAAAGATGAGGGACCTGTCAACCTGAAAGCGAAACGTTTTACTGTTGTGACATTTCACAAACAATCTGTTTCAGCTGCGCGACGTGAAGGTATACCAGTCTGATCCTTCAACCTCTACACCAATGAAGTACGCTGATGAGTCAGGGGAGTTCAGAAGGAACCTAGAACGATCGCCCCTCCGCTTTTCCTTCCAAGATGGCATAGTGGAAGAACTGTGTCCAGCTGAGGGTGAAACAACATGGGCTCTCAACATCAAAAGAGGACTTCTCACTGCTGTCCAGAACAGTATGGATAACCTGGAAAAGAATCAGAGAGTAAAAGAGGTAAAACTAAGAAATAGGTATTTCTCCGTTTGAAGACTTCAAGATGTAGAAGACTTTGTATGCAATACATGTATTGGGATACATCTGCATTTCTTCGATTTAATAAGTGTTTCTTGAAGACTTCAAGATGCATATTTGTATACCATACATGCATAACATTTATGTTTTATTTCTCCAGAATGACGTCACGGGCGAATGCAAAACCGACTACACGGTGGCATCACGTGGCTGGTACTCTACAACTATTAAGAAGAGCAAGAACCTCCTTGGCTGCACTGATCGTAATGGCTATCACAGCTCAGTCCATGGCATGCAGTACAGAGTTCCTTCAGAGATCCAGTCGCTGCCCCTCATGAAGAGTACACACGAATGTGAACAGGAACTGGACAAGAATGGACTCCTCAAGAGTGCGCTCATCCGGGAGACCCACACATTCAGGCCCTTCTCTAGAGCCACCAGCGGTGCCACCACCAAAGTCCTTCAGAGACTCAACTACAAGACTCAGAGATCTGGTGTTACCACAAGACAAGGTGAGCAGTAGAAAGATCTCCCAGAGTTAGTTTTGAAAGTGTCACAAACAAAAGGCACGGGATTAATTGACTATAACACTCATCATTAGCATCATCATCATCTTAAATAAACGTTCCTAATTGTGTTTCTATCTGATTTACGTGTTTCAGATTATATTCGGAATCGGGCAGGACTTGTGTTTGAACATGCCTATGGCCCAGGAAACAAAGACCAACCAATGAGAGACGCTGAGAGTAAACTGCGAGAGATCTGTCAGAATACACGAGAGGATATCCGCCCGGACACACCACGCTTGTTTTCGGAGCTTGTCTACGTCATCAAAAACCTCAATGTTGATGACATTAGAAGGGTCTACGAGCAAGTTAAATCTGGAGCTATCTGCACTGACAACATAGAGAGGGTCAAGTTAGTATAAACAATTTGTATATCACTATCATAACCCATATTCTATTATCAGGTACACATATATTTCTTGGATAAAAATCTTATCAACAACAATCATTCATAAACATCTGTTTATCTAACTTTGACTAACCTTCAAATCTTGTTTCATTCTAGGAAGTTCTTCCTGGACACTATCCCGATGGCCAGCACAAGTGCATCTGTCACGTTCTTGAAAGACATTCTGCTGAAAAGAGAGGTCACTGGAGCACAGGCAACCATGTGGATCACATCCCTGTCTCTCATCCACTACCCCACCATGGAGATGTTGCAGGAAGTAAAGGTGAGCTGATCACAAACATCACAAAAAAGTACAATGATTGTGTTCACCCTCAATCAAAACAGTGAAAATAACCATCTCATGATGAACTATATACCAACTCTGAATGTATATATTTGTAGGCACTTCTTGACACCCCTCAGTACAGCAAGGCCGCCATGCTTCCAATCTCCACTATGGTCAATAACTATTGCAACCATCACGAAGACTGTTCTGTGGAATCCACGATCACAAATATCATCTCTACCATGGAGAAGACCATTGGTTATGGCTGCTACATCAGAGATTCTAATCTGGAGACGAGTCTTGTGGCCCTTCGTGCTCTCGGAAATGCAGGCCATCTGGACAGATTGACCACTACAATTAGCAGCTGCTTCAACAAACAATCCAACCCCACGGAGGTCCGAGTAGCTGCCATCCAGGCCTACAGAAGACTGCCCTGTACTGCCGATGTGAGTTATAGATATATTTTCAAAACTTACTCATTCATATTTTTTTTACATTTAAATGTCATATGATATCCAATACAATTGTAATGTCTGAACATGTGTTTCATTTCAGAGAAGCAACGTTATGACCATCTACCAAGATTCCGATGAGGATGCCGAGCTGAGAATTGCAGCCTACTTGGCTGTAATGCAGTGTCCATCTGAAGATGTCTTCAGCAGAATCCAAGCGTCTCTCGAGTCGGAGAAAGTTAATCAAGTTGGATCCTTTGTCTGGTCTCATCTAACCAACCTGATGGAAACATCCAGTCCACAGAAGCAGACCATCAGACGAATCCTCGAGGACAAAACCCTTGGAAGGAATTTCGACCTCTCAACACTCAAGTATTCACGCAACTATGAAGGTTCTCTATTCCTGGAGAAATTCAACACTGGCGCCATGCTCGAGAGTAATGTCATCTTTTCAGATAAATCCTTCTTTCCTCGTTCTGCTATGCTCAATATGACAGTGGATCTCTTTGGGAACTCTCTCAATCTTTTGGAGCTTGGTGGACGCATGGAAGGAGTGGAGTATCTCATTGAGAACTACCTTGGCCCATACAGCTACTTTGGAGGAAAGGCAGCCAAGAAACCAAAGGTACTTTTACATTTCAATCAATCATTTGTTTCGCTAAGGGCGCACACATATACACACCTTTGTGTAAAGAACCTATATGTCTACATGTATGCATGTGTTTCAAACCTCAATTTGCTGCTTCTTTCAGAGTACTGTCAACCTTGATCACCTAAGAGGAGACTTATACATGAGGATCTTTGGCAATGAAATGTACTATGACCATTTCAAAGGCGTAGATCCATTGGCATCCATCAAGAACTTCAACTTTCTGGACTTCCTTATCAAGATGTCCAAGAAGCAAGATTACTCCTTCACTCAGAGTATGATGATCCTGGACAGTAGCATGATTATCCCTACCAGCTCCGGTCTCCCCCCTCAATCTCACTGTAAACGGAACAGCCACCATCGACCTCCAGGCCTCTGGTCAAGTGGACCTCCGTAAAATGACAACTTCACCAAGCAGTCTCCTCATTGATGGACACATCAAGCCAAGGTAAACTTTCAGTACTCAATTCTTTTTCAGGAAAAAGACCAATGTCATCACACATTCAATGCATATGTACTTGATATTATATATTTGCTTGAATCCGACCTATGACCTTTTTCAGTGGAGCTATCAAGATTGTTGGAACAATGAGCATGGATGCCTTTGTCACCAAAACCGGCCTTCGAGTTGTCAACACCTGGCATTCCAGCACTGCATTGAAAGGGCGTGTAGAACTCAGCCGGGGAAAGATTCTTAGTGCAGACATTGACTTTCCACAACAGAAAATGGAAATCCTTGATGTCAAGTAAGCATTTTTAACTTTCAGTCCCTTAATACAAATACATATATACATAATACAAAGTGTGGTGTTGTTGACAGTACATGCTTCACACATATGCAATTAATCAAAAATGATATTAATAAAGATTAATATTATCTTTCATATGTTACAGCACAGAGTTCTTCAGCATTCATGGTGATCAGGAGAAGAAACAAGACTTGGTCACAGACAACCGAAAGAGGCTGGAACTGTGCACAGGAACCAGACTTGCCACCATCACTGGCCTTGAGCTCTGTAATGAATTCCAGTGGTCTAATGCTTCCATGGTAGATGCTGCTCCATACTTCCCCCTTCACAGGGCCCTTCTCTCAAAGCCTTGTTCTTTACAAGAGGGACACACACACTGGCTACAAACTCATGGCTAAACAATCAACGGTCAGTATGTAGATTCATACAGTTAGCCTTTCAAAACACTCACATGCTTCCACGTTTCGGGTCGTTTCTGAGTTTGTAGTTATGATGTACATTTTTAGAAACTATTGAATTCACTGAGATAGTATTTTATAATTGTTTCTTTTTCTTTTTCAGAATCAGTATTCCACTGTTGCTCAGATAGCTCTGAACACACCTGGATCCAGAACTGATCGATCTTTGGCTTTCGACTTTCTTCTAAATAGGAAAACCAAAGACCTTGAAATCAACCTGGCGTCCCCATGGAAGAAGGCAGCATTCAAAGGTGTGTTACTTGGATGGGTTTATCTCTCTGTGTTGTTGTTTGTTGCTGCAGTAGTTTGAAGAAACATAAAATCTTGTCATAACATACTAAGATTGAAAGTAAAACTATTCATGTCACTTTACAGGATCGATGGCATATGAAAGTAAGAAGATCGGCATGAAGGGCAATCTGATTGTCGATGAATCGAGAGAATATGGCATCATCAGCGAAGTTGGTATCAAGAAAGTAAGGACATTTGTGACCTACATGCCCCGCCTGGAGATCAGACGCCCAGGAGCCAAAGTTATCCTACTCAGTGGAACAGTAGAGGCTGAAGCACTTAAGAGAGCAAGTGCTGAATTAACCCTCAATGGAGTAACACCAAATGCAATCAGCTTTAGATGTAAGTACAAATTTCAAAGCAGACAACTTTCCACAAGAACCATGGCCTCAATCTATACAAAGTACCACAACTAAAGACCATGTTTCATGTTTCTTAGACCTAACTTACTCTTGCAGCTGCCTTACTGAACTCGAAAATTGAGAAGAGTGTGATGGGTACCTTCAGCCTTGCTCCAAAGCAGGACTACTTTCTCGAGGCTGGTTTGGTGTACCAGAACAGTGGCAGGAAGAAGTCCATCATCAAAGTCATCCCAACATTAACAGTCAAGACCCCCAAACTTCAACTCGTCTCTCTCTCTGGATCAGGAGACTATAAAGAGGGCAAATCACTCAAGGGAGGTGTCTCTCTGGATGTACACAAGGTCTTGGACAAACCAATCACTCTGAAATGTAAGTATTACGGAAACTTAAGTTAGGAATGGCTAGGAATGCCAACATTTTACAATCACAACACGTTTATATAAGAAATTCACTCTTCACCAGGTAACCTTAAGTTTCAATGACTTGTCAGTTTGTTGTTGCAAATTATTATATTTCAAATAACAACATATTAAACACAGTATCAAATGTTGTTTCAAAAAAACATCATATCACTTATGAATGTATTCAACGGCCATGTATGTCCAAATCAGGTGACATCAAGAAGACAGGTGGTTCTAAGAACAAGTACAGCGGAAGTGTAACACTTTCTTCCCGTTTCCTGGTCACCAAGCTTAGTGGCAACGTACAGACCAAGACGAGCACAGTCAGCACCTTTTTAACTCTCGACTACAATCTGCCTAAGATCCGAAGTATCAAAAGGACAAGATCACATTCAGCTCTAAATACACTGATCGTAGCACCAAGTCCCTCTGGAACTACCAGCTGAACACGTAAGTAAACATTCATACATCAAATTCTTATTCACCGAACCGGTATCACAACCCTAGTAATAGTAAATGCTACTTTGTAAAATCAGGTGTCATGTGTGTACACAGGATAATGTTTTTTACAGAAACTTCGAAGACAAGAGATTCCCTGAGGTCAATTTCTTCACGGATCTTGACTTCTCTCACAACAACAAACACACAGAAGCTGGTGCAACATTCCGATATGGACCTAAATCCAAAGATTCCTCCCGTCAGATCACAGGCTATGCTCTTGTTAACCATGACGTTGGGTCCAAAGCCAAAGTTGACTACACAATGAAAACTACTGTGGGACCACTGGTGAGCCATTTGATCGTACCTAACATAGCTATAAGGTCGCACACATAACTAAGAATCAACTACACTTAACAAATAATGGCACATTGTATCATTGTTATAAACCATACATATTCATCACCTACATAACAATTTCTTCAGGTTTACTTCATGGTTGAATTCATTATTGTTTCAGGATGTGAAACTGAGCCTGAAAGGAAAGCATATCCAAGACAGTCGCAATCTGAATTCCACCATGACATTTGGCTATGGCAAAGGAAATACAATTGATGCTGCTCTCAATCTGAGAAATAGTGGAAAGAAGACACTGAATCTCTTGGGTGAAGCAAGGCTTTCTTATCCAGGCAAAGAACTCCATCTGAAAACTGATCTAATCCAGTCCAAGAAAGACTACACACACTCCATGACCTTCTTCATGGACAAAGAAAAATCTACTATGGTAACAACCTACAAAAGACAGAGAGATGCAGCCCACCAGGTGAAATCTGACATCAAGCTACATTACATCCAGCCAATCCAACTGACTGCCTCCACTAACCTGAACAACAAGGACCTCAAGCTTTCTGCACAGGCCGATTATGCTGGTGAGGTTTATGGAATCAACACAGGCTATAAATACTCCAAGACGCCAAGTGCCAAGTGGAGCATGGACATTACATACCCCACAAGACATGTCATTCTCCAGGTCGAGGGTGGAAGGCGAGGTGTCACATACGAGGGCTCTGCTGATGCTAAGTGGGATGCTGACAAGGACATTTCCAGGAGATTCCTCCTCACAGGAAAACTCAACCTCAAGTCATCTGGCAACTTTGCTTCCACTGTTGCAATGAAATACCCAACCAGAGATGTGGAGTTCAATATCAAACATGCTAGTGGCCAACAGTATACTACACGTGCTGATGTCTCTTGGGACACTGACAAGAAGATCAAAGTAGATACATCCTTCAAAAAGGTCCAAACACGAAGTGGTCAGTCACTTGATGGTTCTGTGAGAGTGAAGACCCCGTTTGAAGGATATGAAGATCTAATGGCCCAGGCCAGTAGTGACAACAATGACAAGAAATATGGCTCCTCAATGCAACTCTCCTGGGGTGGAAAGAAAAATCAGATCTCTTCTGCTGTCAGCATGAAGAAACCCTTCTCTGTAAGAAACCTTGACCTGACTATCACAGGAACATCCCCTTTCAAAGGATACAGAAGGTTCAGCACCGAAATAGATCACAGAATGACAACTTCTCTTAACACCATCATTAAGGGAAGCTTAGAGGGAAAGAATGCCAAGCTCATTTTGACTGGGGAGAACCGATGCACTGACCAGAAAAGGGACATTGAGGGTACCGTGAATTTCAAGTCCAACTTCAAGGGAATGCGAGCTGTTAATCTACGTCTTTCTCACAATGATGATTTCAGAAAGTTTGTGACTGACATTGCTCTGGATGTCAATGGCGATCAATACACCTATGATTTGGATATGGACCATGCAAGATCTGGATGGCAGTTCCAAAACACCGGTAAGCTCACACTCTCTTCTCCAAGCTACCGGTTCACCAACAACTGGCAACACAGGAATACTCACAATGACGTGAAAAGTACAATGACAACCGAATGGGGCAGGGGCCGACGCATCTTTGTCAACATATTTGGAAACCATGCTTCAACCACCAGAACAAAGGCCTTGGGAGGAGTAACCATTGAAACTCCATGGAAACCAATCCGCAGTCTTGACATCAACCTTGACCATGAACACGGAAGAGGTTTTATCCGCCACTCCTCTAACATCAAGCAAGGAGAGGATATTATTGGGTCAGCAGGAATCAACTACATTAGATCTGATGGGCAAACAGAGTCGGACTTTACACTGGCATCACCTGTGACCGACCTCAAAGGGAAGATAAGTGCTCGCTATCTTACTTATCCACTTTCAGGACATGCTGAATTAGAATGGTCTCCATATAACAAAATGTCGCTTGATGGTTCCTTTGCTGCTCCATCTAAAGAGAATATTGAAACAAGTCTACGGATGACAAGTCCTTTTGAAAACTTCAGAGACATTGTCTTGAAGGCATCTCACAAGAGGGAAGGATCTGATTTGATATCAAGAGGAAGTTTCAGCTATGACATCAGAAAGGCCTTTGAATTTGAAGCACACATTACTCCTGACACCCTGAACAATTATCGGGCAACACTGAAGACGCCTTTTGATGACTACAAATCTTTTGAGGCAGCACTTTCATACGATGGTGGCAGGAGAAACTTCATGAGCAAAGCTAACTTTGCTATCACTCCTGTTTTGGGAAACTTTGCTGGGATCTTGAACTGGAACCTCGACGACATGAATGGAAAGATGAGGATAGATACTCCATTCCCTGACTATCAGTACGTGCAGGTGTTTGCCAGCAGTGAACTTACAGGCAAGGGGAGACGCTCACACATTGAAACAGAATACTATCCAAGGAAAACTGTTAGCCTTGATGCTGTCTATGCATTTGGAACCCCCATTATCATGGACGTCACCATCAAGACTCCATTTGAAAACATGGAACACATGAGTGCATCCCTTAAACATGCTCTCAGAAGACGCTCTCTACAAACACATGCTGATGTTACGTTTGCGTCTGACAGCAACTTGGCTGGCGATCTGAAACTGAACTGGGCAAAGGGATATGATGGCAGTCTGGTCATCACCACACCTTTCCATGGTTATGAAATCAACAAGCTATCTGTCAGACATGAGGGCACTTGGGATGATTTCAAGAGTCACGGAGAAATTCAAATGACAAGGAAAACTGGAGAAGTCGACCTTGATTTCCGTCATGGCTTTAGATCAACTGGGACATTCACACTCAAGACACCATTTAATGGCATGGAAGAAACTAAAGTTTCACTTAACAAACGTGGCCTTTGGAATAACATACGAGGCGGTATCATCATCACCTATGGAAGAGATCAAACAATTGACATCTCTGGCCAGAACAGATTTTCCAATGGACGCCTGGACACAACACTTCTTGTCAAATCCCCCTTTTCGGAGAACATCAAATTTGGCATAGATCATGATGGCCAACTAAGAAGCTTCTCAACTAAGGTATCTGGAGCTGTTGGATCACGACACTCCTTCAACTCAGAATCAGCATTCACTTTCAGGTATCCATTGATAGATGTATCTACCAACTTTGCCCTCACAAGAGATTGGAGGAGCAGAAACATTGGACTCAAGCTTCACAAAGAAGGCTACATTAGTGACATGAACGCCAAAGCAACTGGAATTCTGGACAATGAACAAGTTGATGTGTCCTTTATACTTAAGACTGATGGCAAATATGAAGGATCTCTCACCATGCAGACACCATTTGAAGACTACAAAGATATTGGACTCTCTCTTCAACATTCTGGAAACGTGCAGAGGTTTACAAGTCAAGGCACTATCAGGTACATGGATGGCAAGTCTCTGGAGGGCACCCTGACTTTCTGGCAATCTGGCCTGGCTCATATTGATACCAAAGCAGAAATCAAGACTCCCTTCCTGGGATATGAATCTTCCCTTCTCAAATACCGCCATTCAATGGATGATTCTCAAATGACATCAAATGCTCTCGTTCTCTATGGACGTGGACAACGAATTACATCTGATCTTAATATCCAAACATCACCTAAGATCAGCTTTGATCTAACTGTTCAAACACCCTACGACAGATTCCAAAACAATAAACTTATGTTTACTCATTCTGGGCCTATTGTCAGCTGCACAAGTCATGCGGAAATGGAAATCCTGGGCAATACAGTCACTGCAGATTCATCATTTGAACACGGAACGTCCACCAGAGCCAGTCTCGCCATCATCACTAACATCGAGGGTATGGAAGTGGTCAAGGCATCTCTCAACAAGGAGGGAAGCAGCGAGAACTTTAGAGGTACTGCTTCAGCCTCCCTGAAGGATTCCACCATTCAAGCCGATGTCACAGGTAGAATTGCACAAGACATCAGAGGAAGCCTTTCTCTTAGAACCCCCTTCAGTGACTTTAGAGACACAGCCATTGTCATTGAACACACAGGCAACTGGAATGATTTTAATAGCGAAGGAATGCTCCGTTACATGGATGGCAAAACAATTGAGGGTAAAATTAAGTTCTTCAATAATGGATACAGGCAGATAAAAACAAGTGCCGAGCTGAAGACACCCTTCACTTCCTATGAAATGATGACCGTCGAATATGGACATGATTCCAGGAGCAATTACTTTAAATCCAACTCAGCAGTCACCTATGGCAACGGACAGAGGATTACATCAGACATCTCCGCAGATACAGCCAGAGATATCAATGTAAATGCTGTGATCAAAACTCCCTTCAGGGACTTCGAACTTAGTAGAGCAATCTTCACTTCCACTGGCCCTCTCAGAAATATGAAAAACAATGCAGAACTTGAGTTTGCCAAGACCAGACTAACTGCACAGACCAACTTTGCAAACATAGGATCAACAAAAGGTGATCTCGTTATCACAACAAACATTCCTGGTTATGAAAGTATGAAAGGTTCCATTGGAGTGGAAGGGGATCTCACTGATCTGAAATCTACAGCACTTCTTAACATTAAAGATTCTACACTTGAAGTAGATCTCAGTGCAAGTTTGAAGAACAGAATCATGGCATCTGTGACGATCAGGAGTCCTTTCCAGAACTTCAGAAATGTGGGAGGCTTCATTGAGCACTCAGGATCGTTATCACGATTTAATACTGAAGGAAATCTTCGCTACATGGATGGAAAAGTTGTTGAAGGCAAAGTCGTCTTCTTAAAATCTGGACTGACACATATTCAAGCTAGCGCAGAACTCAAAACACCTTTCCAAGGATATGAAAGTCAATCTGCAGAGTACAAACATTCACTGAAGAATGGCCGTCTTAGCTCCACCATGGATGTCAACTATGGTCAGCGTCAACAAGTACTGATGACTGTAAATGGCATGATGTCACCAACAATAGACATTAGTGCTACACTGAGAACTCCTTTCAGAAGCTTCGAAACCAGCAGAATCATTTTCACCCACGATGGGCCTATTGGCAACTGCAGGAGTCACCTGGAACTGCAAGCTATTGGGAAGACACTCACTGCAGATTTGGACTGCCAAACTGGTAGTTCTATGAGCGGTAACCTGAATGTAGTCAGCAACATTGAAGGATTGGAGAGCATGAGGGTATCTTACAGTAAGGAAGGGGATATCAATAATCTCAAAGCTAAAGGATCCATTGGAATCAGACAGGAAACATTAGAAGCATCTCTAAACAATGTCTTCAGTTCAAGGCGACTCTTGACTGACTTATCCATCAGAAATCCATACACAGAAGATATTGTTGCACGTGTAGATTTCAGTGGGAGACCAACCAACTTCAAAAATCAGATTTCAGCCAGCATGGGCACTGGTGGTTCCATCTCCTCGGACTCATCCTTCCGGCTTAGAAATGGGGATATTGATATCAGCTCAGGATTTAACTTCAATCTGGCGGGACTTGGACAGACAGGAAATATCAAATTCCACAAAGAAGGAGAACTTAAGAATATGAAAATGAGTATCAATGGTGATTACAACCAGAGGAAAGCAAGTGTGAAAGCCGAGTTCAGAGCACTGGACGACATCCATGGTCAGGTCAAAATCGCAACACCATTCAGACCATACAGAAACCTTGGCTTCTCTTTTGACCATTCTGGTACATGGACTCGTTTTACTTCTCAAAGTATGGTCCAGTTCATGGATAGGAGAAAGATCACTGCAAAAATCAACCATTTCAGTCATGACCTTGATCGTCTAGAAAGTAGCTTAGAAATTACTACACCTTTCCAAGGCTACGAGTTCACAAAAGCTGAGATTGATCATGCTGCAACAACTAATGGAATCAACTGTAATGCTGCTGTACAGTATGCACAAGGACAGAAAGTTACAGGAGAACTCCATGCTACAATTTCGCCAAAGTATGACGTGGAAGTCAAACTGACTACACCTTTCAGACAATATGAGGTTCTCTCTGCATCCACATCATTTGAGCATGGAACTGACAGATACAATCTACAGAGCAAACTGAATGCTGGAAATGGCAATCACTTTGGTCTTGAATCAACTGCTGACATGTCTACCACGCCCTACACGGCAGTTGCACGTATCTCAACACCATTTGAAAACTTTGATTCTGCTGAAATCTCTTTGACACATGCTGGTGAACTACGGAAGTTCAGGTCCACAGGCACAATACAAACTCCAATGACCGGTACTCACACAGGTGAAGCGTCTTTCGGTTACACATCCCTCTCAGAAATGGAAGGTTTAATATCTCTTTCTGATAACATCAAGTTGGCTTTACACAACACCAACAGAAACCAGAAATACCAATCTCACATTGAGGCTACATGGAGTCCCACAGACAGAATAGCTTTTGATGGATCCTACCAATTCCTTGATCTGTACAGTGAGAAAGAACTGACAACAGATCTGACCCTGGTTACACCATTTGAAGCTGCCAAATTGACTGCTCTCAGGTTTGAACATCATCAAGGATCGGATAAATATACAGAGAAGCTGGAAGCTGATTACAATGGTGACAATATTCTGGATATGGACATGGAGATCTCCCGAGGTTCAAGGGAGCAGGGAACATTCACAATGAGGAAACCAAGGCCAATGCAGCTGACTCTTTCAGGGGAAATGGCTGATGAGAACATTGATGGAGAGATGTTTGTCAACTGGGACAGAGATGAACCCGAGAGCAACATCCGAATCCAGACCACACTGACAGACAGGAGCAGACAGTCCCTGCTGAACAAAGACCTGACACTCAAGTTTATTCATCCCACCCGCACTGTTGGTATCATCGGAAATGTCCTCAGTTCACAGCTCCAAACAAAGAGTCGTGGAGAATTCATCTGGAATGAAGATGCAGGACACAAACTTTTCTATGATGTGGATGTTAAGGACCGTAGCCGCCGTAACAGCAAGATGTATGATGGCACCTTCAAAGTGGGATCCCCACTGAGAAGTCTCCAAATGGATGGGTCTTACAGTCAGACAGGTGCAAGCAAAACTCTGGATGGAGCCTTCTCCTGGGATGCAGACCGAGATGACACAAAGAAGATTGGCATGAAAGCTGTCTTCACACCTGGTGACAAGAATAAGCAGGCTGATCTCTCTCTCAGACTTCCTTCTATTGGAAAGGTAGGAACTCAACACAATATTTACTGTAAAGTTTATGCAAACATGATGTTTTGAGCTCATTACCAAGACAAAATGTCGCGGCGTAAAACTAAACTCACTCACTAAACTCAACAAAATGTCATGATGAATAATACCCTTTAATGCTCTGTACACACAATTAGAACAAAAACATAACGGTTGTCAATGATCTTCAGAACATCCAGATCGACACAGAAATGCTGCTGAATGATGGCAGGACAGTCTTCAATGGAAAAACACAACTGTCCTACTCCAGTGACTCCCGAAAGACCCTGACACTTACATCTCGACTGGATGATATTTCCTATGGATGGGGTAACACCAACTACAGTCTTGTGGTTGGCGTAAGCCACCCATATACAGATGTGGACGTCAAACTTACATCCCACATCGGCAGCTCCAGCGAGAAAGTATCTGCTGGAACTGGAATCACCTACCTAACAGCCAGAAGGGAAAGACAGAACTTTGCTCTCAGAGGCGAGATCAACAAACTGAGAAAGCAGATACAGCTGCAGGTGAGAAGCCTTACTGTTCAGAGTATCCTCAAAGCTTAAAATCATTAGCCATTAGGATCACATGATAGATATGATGTCTCAATATATACGTCATTAGTATTAACATTTATCTCATAATCAAATCTAAAGATGAAGTAATAATTACAAATTCATGACAAAGATGTTATCAAGTATTTGATATCAAGTAATATAATTCCCACTTTTATAGATGGAGACCCCAATCAAGAACATGGACCTCTCTGGTGAGATGGAGGAAACTCCTTTCAAGCTGAAGATCAGGAACATGTATGGAGACAAGATTGTCCAAGCACACCTTACTGTTGACACCGAAAGGAGAATGGTGGATTTCCAAACTAACTATGACCTAGGTAGGATCTGCAATATCCTCCTTCCTTTCAAATCTATTTATATATGATGAACATTTCATCAAATTTAAAGGCCAAAATAGCACTGTAACAGAAACATATTCTACTTCAGACAACCCTGGAAAGACACTGAACATGAATGCCAGATACGTCAATTCAAGCGCCATGCAGGCTGAGGTTTATCATCAGGACAATTCTCGTCGACTTTCTGACAGTCTGCTTGCTCTCAGACTCAACACATCCCGTCTTCTCCATACCAGGATATCCTGGAGGCCACAGATGATCGCTGATGTTCAGGTATTAAATGCTGAAGAACATATGTAATTAGTGTACAAATTGAAATGTTTGAAAATCAAAACTCGTCACAAGAAAACTTTCCACATTTAATATACCATTTTTGTAAATGAGTACTCTTGTGTTTTTAAAGGGATACTTGACCAAGACAGTGGAGACATATGGGCAAGATACCAAGGCCTCTTTCCACTCTGTATACGAGTCTGTGGGACAGGAATTGTCCGGCAAGTACCACCGGATTGCACAAGTCGCCAAAAAGGAACTGTCTCCTTACCTAACCATGTTGGAATCAGAGATGGCTTCCATAGAGAGACAGTTGGACTCTATCAGGAGGGATATCAAGCGCATGTACAACCGTAATGACTTCTACATAGCAGCAATGGGAGATTACTTCAGTCAGACATTGTAAGTCGACCAGCGGTTTCATTTATATCTATAGTGGGATCAATTTAGGGTCATATTTGGAATATAGCATTGTCTAAAGCTAACAACGCGAAAAAGACATTGCACACTTTGATAACCATGAGCAAATTTCTTTGCTTCAGCGAAGCATACAAGGACCTTGTGACTTCAACAAAGGAAGTGTTTGCTTCCACAAATCAGAAACTGGCTGAATACATGCAGGAGATGACAAACTTCCCCATCGGACAAAAATATCAGGCCATTGTTGCTGAAACCCTCGCCAACTTTAAGGTTTGTGTCTCTTACAAACTTACATTTTTCATGAACTCCTGGTGTGATCCCTTATTTTCAGTGATCCATTCAAATGGGTATCGTGACTATTTTCCTTTTTACATAAAGAGATCTGTTTTGACAGATCATCGAGACTGATTACTTTGGCGTTGATATGTTATGTTTAAAATATTTCATTTCTCAATGTAGCGTGGTGTGGATGAGCTTGTTGGAATGACCGTGGTGATGATCTCAGGACTGGATGAACAGCTGCAGAGTATGAGGAACACTTATCATCATCATTACAACAACCTGCAGAATTCGATTACAGGTAATTTATTTCAACTTATTGTGAATGTTTGATTTTTGCTTCCGAAATCAATGTACAAATCACCACCATCATGACAATTTAATTTTTACCTTATACTGCATCTTTCACAGAGCTGAAGAACCATCCTCGATTGGCGACTGTCAGGCTTCAGGTTGCTGACACCTACCAGCAATACCTCAACGCCATTACCAACAAAGTACAGGACCTTAACATCCCCAGCAAGTACAGCGCAATTGTAGAGCACACACAGAAGATGATGACCTCCCGCCTAGGAGACATCATGAAGAGGGACGACCTCCAACATCTGCTTTCCCTCACAAACGGTGCTTACCAAGAGGTCAGTCCAAATGTTATGTCCAAGATTGTTTTTATGTAGTGCAAGGCAACCTATCTTTTCAATTTATCAGTCTGGCAACACAATTTGTGAATGCAACAGCTTCAATGAACTATCACTGGTTTACAGGGTGTGTGGGCATACAACTACTGGCAAGTAGAGGAGAACCTCAAGCAGCACCTGCAGAGCATCTATGAGATCATCAAGGAGATGATTGAGGAGGAGGTTCAGAAATACAGGGAACAATTGGTCTTTCTGGAAAAGTCCAAGGTCACAGTTTGGGATCCTGAACATGGAGAGATCCAGATAGACTTATACCTGCCTATTCCACTTCAATCTCTGGACACACTTCCAGAAATTCAGACGTATGTTCAAAGGGCAAAGACTGCAATCAACACATACATTCCAGACAAGGCAACGTACCAGAGAGTAAGTTTGTTTTGGGGTTTTTTTGTTTTTAATTGTTTTAATTTATTTTATTTTTCATGAAACCCAAGTCTTCCATCATAAACGGTCCTTACATAATGACATATACAAATACATGAAACATAATCAGATATCCAACATACCAGGATGTAACATAGTTAGACCAGTGAAATATCAGCCTGTATAGGGTGTTGCATGCAATGCCACATCCAACATATCATGTTTTACATAGCGCAACATGCAGCATAGAGTGATGTATATAGCGTCATATCAGACATAGCATATTGTATATGGGGTACCATCCAACATACGCTGTATATTGCGCAACATCCAACATAAGTTGTATATAGTGTCATATCCGAAATGTCGTAATGTATACAGCATATCATACGACCTATTATGTTGTATATAGCACCATATCCGACATATCATATTGAATATAGGGCCACATCTGATGTTTCCTGCTGTATATTGCGTCACATCCAACATATCGTATTGTATATTGCGGCACCTCCGACATATCATGCTGTATATAGCGCAGTACCAAGCATACAATGTTGTATATAGCGCCATATCAGACATATCGTATTGTATATGGAGTCATATCCGACATATGTTGTACATAGAGCTACATATAGCGTCATATCCGACATGCCACGCTGTATATAGCATCACATACGACATGTCATATTGTTTAAAGCACCACATCTGACATATCATGCTGTATATTGCATCACATCCCTTCTATCTCATTGTATATTGCATCACATCTGATCTATCATGTTGTATAATGCATACTCCTCTGACATATTATGTTGTATATAGCGCCACATCCAACATACCATGTTATACATAGAGCCACATCTACCAGAGAGTACGTTACCTAGCCTATATGTACACCGGTGGGTTTTTTCTACAATTATATTCAACGGTGAAGGGTATTACCAAATGTTTGGTGTATATAGTACCCGGGCATATAACTTTGGCATGAACGTTTCACTCATTCTTGAACCCGTCCATTGTGTTATAACACAAGATTCTTTCCCCTATTTTCAGTACATCCCAACATCATTGTGGCAGACACCCAATGCTACAACGAGGATCAATCGTGAAATGAAAGTAAGTAGCACAATATGTTTATGATGCACCCTGCACTTTGCGTCTCTTTTTTAATATCTTTAATTGTATTTTCAATTAGCACGTGTTTAGTCATTTTGTTTATAAGCTATATGATTGTTCATCGTGTGAGAAAATAAAGAATGAATAAAGAAGTCCTAAAGTAGATGATGTAATACAAATCTATACAAATCAAGTCACTCAAAAATAGTTCAAGTACAATGAAACATCTAACATGCATCTTTTCAATACTTTCATCTTTTGCAGACCTTGCCAAACGCCTCTCAGAGACGTCCCTTGAGAAGGTACAACGCCATCCGTCTCTAAGACCACAGCCTTCCAACACCCATTGAACCCTTACAGAAAAATGATCTAGACAATGTATTGACTATTTATAGTACCAAACGTTTTATGTAAGATCAATGTTACTTGTAAACTGTACTGAACAAATGATATAAGACAAACTATTTGAATATTTAGTAGTGAAAAATATGTCTATTATGTTTGCTTGTAAACGAACACTTCCATTATGTGGAATGTGTGGTGTCTTTTGTTCAGTATATGTTACAGATAAGGTAACAAGTAGCATGTAACAAATTCCTTCCCAGTCCAAGAATAAATATTTGCATTCAAAGTGTTTCCTGTTGTATTCTATGGTGTTACACCTTTACTTTCGCTGATGGAATTATCGGATTTTTCACGTCTGCATTTGTCACATACTAAGAAATGACACTGGCATGGTATCCTCTGGTCATCTGTTAATGATGTGACAACTGTTTGATGTCATTAAACTGACACTTTCTACTTGAGGCAAGTAGTTCCTTTGTACATCAATTTTCTTCATTGCTATGAAGTCCCACGAAACTAAAGAAGGCACTGCCTCACAAGAACATAATGTCTCACAATACTCAAGAACACAATGCCTTACGAGATACTACAGTTGGAAACTTACCCTGACATATTTCTACCATGAAGTCGACCTGTGAGCTTTTCATATCAAATTATACTCAATATTTATTAATGGTAGCCAGGAATTGTTTCTGCTATGTTAGGGTGTGGTTTGCAATACCTCTACACAGTTACATTCGCAAAGAATGGATCTTTCTACTGACAATATCTTCTGGTATTATGGTCAGGTTTGAATGAATATCTGGAGGGTTGGGTTGGAAAAACATAGGAAAATCTTTTTCCACATTCTGAAGAAATCCCTACTACAAGGAGAGTCGAGTTTACGTTACAGAGTAAAGATCTGGTTTGAACTGATCTTCAGTAATCCATTCTTGTCGTAAGAGGCCACTAACAGCATCTGATGGTCCGTCAGATTTGGTTGGTTCATGTCATCGTATCCAATGCTCGATGTTCATGATGTCAATCACTGGATTTTGGGTCAAGGATGTTTACAGATCATCGGCATATAGCTGGAATATGCTGCGCAAAACAACCAGCAATGTTGCATAATGTGGGTTTGGTGAGCATGAGCGTCTGCATGTATCTCTGCGTTGACTGGTGTCGGTTTTAGTGCAAGTGCACTGAGATGATTAGTCCGCTCCAGTCTCCTCCAGCTTCTACTGGTCTATTCCTGACTGTCGCCGTCCTTTTTGTTTTTGACTCCAAGGGCCCTTATTCTCGAAACTTTCGTAGCCTTAAGAATTCTTAACTTTGATCGTAGCCAATGTGTTAAAAATGGGCTTACGAAGTTCGTAGGGTTACGAACGTTTCGAGAATAGCTAGCCAGTCCCGTTTCTTTTTCTTAACCTTGACATCGAACAGCAACATGTATACCCTTCCCTGACCACAACAGACGACCTAGTATTGCCAAATTTGAGTGCAATTATTCATTATTGTACTCTATAACACATCTTTGCAATGATATTTTAATATTAGTCATTATAGGTTACGCAGACTGGATCTTGTTTTCGCAACAAAAGTTGAAAGATCTAAGCACAATTGTTTTGAAAAAGTGGCTTATGATGTATGATACTCGTGAAGATCAGTTGTCTTCAGCAACCCATGCTTGTCGTAAGAGGAGACGAGTGGTCAGGCTCGCTGGCTTGGTTGACACATGTCATCGTCACCTAATTGTGTAGATCAACTGGATTGTCTGGTCAAAACAATACGCGAATGTCCTTTGGTAATTTTAGTAGGTGTCTTTGCTGTGCGTGAGGTATTCCAGGATATCGTTTCGACATTCACATGAAGGACATATATTTATTGTTCCTATTGTTTGGAGGTATGTTGATGGTGCATATGTTACATAATTTACAATCAGTACAAATATAGTCAACATTTCTACTTCAGAAACAGAACACCTCACTTCCCACTTCCAAACGCCAGGTTTGACATTTAACGAATGACTGACTGACTGACTGAGTATGGTTTTACGCCGTTTTTAGCAATATTCCAGCAATTCCACGGCGGGTCCGCTTAATGTGGGAGGAAACCCCGAAGTCATGCAGTATTAATGTTAGTGGAACCCATAAGCACGTGTTTGGTGCAGAGAAACCTAGAAACAGAAACCGGAATTGGAACACACGATGACAGATTGCTGGCGTGCCCAGCGGACGCATCTCTGCAAAGAGAATGCCAGTGCCTTAATCTTGGTTCCCATTTCAACCCCATAATCGCCAATTACCTTATTCTACCTCGTTTACACACCCACCCCCCTTCCAATACAAACGTAATGATAACCATGTCTTCGTCTTAAACATGGCATTACAAAATTCTTCGAGTATATCCTAGTTATAATCAAAATGAAAGAATTGTGTGAGTTATACCGCCTTGACCAGTATCATGTCATGTCATGTCAGCGTTAAAGCATAGTCCAAACTTTAGCAGGTCGCATGAATTTACCACAGGACATTAATAGGAACCTAGGATTCAAACAGACGACCACCGAAGAATTGTGAAGGGAGGCAACTCTCTACAACGGCCTTCAGTCCCCTGAAACCACTTACCTCCCTTGTAAACTAAACGACGGAAACTACTTGTCTCTAATGCACAGTCGATATGTGAAGCCTATTTGAAGACGTGCATTAGGTCCTTAGGTAGAATTTCATTACTCAAAAGGTATCCATTGTTAATATTCTATAATAGGTTACAGGCTGAACATCAATGCATTAAATCCAGTGATCCCTTCGCTTCAACCTCGACCGTCTCTGTACCTCCGTATTGTACATATTTACACACGATAACAGGTGAACACAAACACAACCGACAGAATCACAGTTTGTATGTTTAACGATCCGGTGTTTCGAGAACCTTTACTTCCCGTAGTTGAGGTTGTCACTGTCTTCATAGTAACACGTTTTGTTACTTTTGAACTTCCTTGCGTCGAATGTTTGGTGGTTCTCTGAATTGTCGATGTCGTTGTTTTACCTGGAAATGTGACAAGAGAATCATTTACACGTTTGTTCTCGATACTAGTGAAATTATCAACTTTCATTCCCTCCATCATAAGTTACAACACCGTCGTAAAACAGACGTATTTAACAGATATACTAAGGTTACTTCGTCCCTTCTGCCTACTATCATCTAATCAAACTAATATTCACACACTCTCAGAAAACGCTGCATCAGCCACCGTGGGTTTGGGTTTTTGTTTTTTGTTTTTGTGAGTGTTTTTTGTTTTGTTTTGTGGGGGGTTGTTAACTTGTATTTGTTATTTTTTGTTTGTTGCTTTTGTTTGTTTTTTGTTGTTGTTTTGGGGGGTTGTTTTACTTGTATTTGTTATTTTTATTTTTATTTTTAGTTGCTTTTGTTTGTTTTGTTGTTTTTGGGGGTTGTTTACTTGTATTTGTTATTTTTTTTGTTTATTTGTTTGTTGCTTTTGTTTGTGTTGTTGTTTTCTGGGGGTTGTTTGTTTATTTGTTTTTTTTTTGTTTTGTTGTTGTTTGTTTTTTGTTTGCTTTTGTTTGTTTTTGTTGTTATTTTTTAGGGGTTTGTTTTACTTGAATTTGTTATTTTTTGTTTGTTTCTTTGTTGCTTTTGTTTGTTTTTCTTGTTGTTTTGTTTTGTTTGGGGGTTGTTTACTTGTATTTGTTATTTCCTTTTTTAAATTGTTGCTTTTGTTTGTTTTTTGTTGTTTGTTGTTTTGGGGGTTGTTTACTTGTATTTGTTATTTTTGTTTAATTTTGTGCTTTTGTTTGTTTTGTTTTGTTGTTTTTTGGGGGTTGTTTTACTTGTATTTGTTATTTTTTGTTTGTTTGTTGATTTTGTTTGTGTTGTTGTTTTTGTAGGGTGTTGTTTACTTGTATTTGTTAATTTATGTTTGTTTGTTTGTTGCTTTTGTTTGTTTTGTTGTTTTTTGGGGGGTTGTTTACTTGTATTTGTCATTTTTTGTTTGTTTGTTTGTTGCTTTTGTTTGTGTTGTTGTTTTTTTGGGGGGTGTTGTTTACTTGTATTTGTTTTTTTTTTTTTCTTTCTTTCTTTCTTTTGTTTGGTTTGGTTTGGGGGTGGGGAGGGGGAAAATCTCTGTCTACACCATCATTTTGTCACCATTTAACACTACCATCACTGTTTCAAGTTTCGTCAGTTGATCAATATTTATCCCTATCGTCAGGATGTCACAATTTCTCCTTATCGTCAGTTTGTCACAATTTCTCCTAATGTCAGTTTGTCACTATTTATCCCTATCGTCAGTTTGTCACCATCTATCCCTATCATCTGTTTGTCACTTGTTATCCCTGCCATCAGTTTGTCACTATTTATCCCTATCTTCGTTTGTCACTATTTATCCATGTTGCCAGTTTAATACTATTTATTATTTATCCCTATCGCCAGTTTATCACTATTTATCCCTGACATCAGTTTGTCACTATTTATCCCTATCATCTGTTTGTCACTATCTGTCCCTATCATCAGTTTGTCACTATTTATCCCTATCGTCAGTTTGTCACCATCTATCCCTATCATCAGTTTGTCACTATTTAACCCTATCATCAGTTTGTCACTATTTATCCCTATCATCAGTTTGTCACTATTTATCCTTCATCAGTTTGTCACTATTTATCCCTGTCGTTAGTTTGTCACCATCTATCCCTATCATCAGTTTGTCACAATTTAACCCTATCATGAGTTTGTCACTATTTATCCCTGTCGTCACTTGTCACCATCTATCCCTATCATCAGTTTGTCACTATTTAACCCTATCATCAGTTTGTCACCATCTATCCCTATCATCAGTTTGTCACTATTTAACCCTATCATCAGTTTGTCACCATCTATCCCTATCATCAGTTTGTCACTATTTATCCCTATCATCAGTTTGTCACCATCTATCCCTATCATCAGTTTGTCACTATTTATCCCTATCATGAGTTTGTCACTATTTATCCCTATCATCTGTTTGTCACTATATGTCCCTATCATAAGTTTATCACTATTTATCCCTGACATCAGTTTGTCACTATTTATCCCTATCATGAGTTTGTCACTATTTATCCCTATCATCTGTTTGTCACTATATGCCCCTATCATAAATTTGTCACTATTTATCCCTGCCATCAGTTTGTCACTATTTATCCCTGTCATCAGTTTGTCACTATTTATCCCTGTCATCAGTTTGTCACCATCTATCCCTATCATCAGTTTGTCACTATTTAACCCTATCATCAGTTTGTCACTATTTATCCCTGT